ATTTATTCATGGCATAAAATGGTTTGCCCCTTTCGGCTTCAGCACGGAAAAAATCGTACACTTTAATCATCAACTGTTTCACGTCAGCATTTCATCAGGCACGAGATAGTGGCTGTTACGTTTCTGCGGTTTCACCCCGCCGCGACAGATAACAACTTTTGCGTTTTCAATGATGATAGTTTCTTAAAGAACGTTTTTGGTGGAGTCCGGAAAATTTTCAAATATAAGAAAGTGTTGGGTATTAGTAAATGATAAACATATGTACTATCTATATTTATGTGGCACTTTTGTACAATGATAAAATTAGCAATTCATCGGTCCGTTTCTGACTCAAACGGACTGTAGGTATCCTCTCAGGAGGACAATAATTTTACAATACTTTAACCAGCCTCTGACCGTCTGATGTGCAACCTGCAATCTATCTATATTAAAAATCAAATATCTACACACTATTAATTAAATGAATTAATTAATGTTAATTCAATTTCCAAAACAGCTCGAACTTGTGTCATTTGTATAGAGTCCCCATGGTCCCTACTATGGTGATCTAACTTCAGTTGTTGGCGATCTATAGCCTGTTTTTGCATTGTATTGTCCTTTATAGTATTGTTGGTTTTATTACTAGTTTTAAATATCTATCTATTTATCTATCTATCTATCTATCTATACGGATCTTCTCCAACATGTTTCACTTTTATCTTCAGGGAGAAGAAGATATAAATGGCTGTAATATTGCCGATGTGATGTAAAATTTTAACTCACTCACTCATTTGTATAGAAAATGTGTATGGTTGCCCTGCTAGGCAACTAATAACACACCAGTAGATTTATGCACAAAGCACACGGGCCTGTGTATTTCCGTATTTCCGAACGTCTTTCCTGTGTTTCACGAAATTCGCTTCCCGGTAGCCCAACAAGTATTGTATTTACGATGCAGCTGTGAAGTGGTGATTTGAATTTGTGATGTGAGAGGTGAGTAGTACAATTACATAGATTTGCTATAATCCGTTTTGTGTATATCAGTGAAGGAACCTCTCGTGATTATTTATGCGTGTCGGAGGTAGATTTTACATGTGACTCTGTCCAATTATTGTCCTATTACATAGATATTACTTGATAATGAACACACACTGTTACCTTTGTTCTGCTACATTGTGATTTATGAACTTGACTAATCTCGACTAAGGTCTTTGCTGGTGAAAATGTGGCTGAAGAAATATTAGTAAGCAAAGCGGTTTTGATTGTTATGTATAACATACACTGTCCCCCCTTTAACGTGTCCATGCAAAGGATAAATATAGACACTATTAATGTAAGCAGCCTTAGGGCTGTGAATCTCACATCTGAGTGGGTGTCCATTTTCGGTGTAAGTGGAGTATATTTTTCAGTCAAACTTTGATATCTTAAGAGACTATTTGTTAGTCCTATCTTCATCTGGTGCAAACACTACCTTTTGCACCACCAACCAACTCTACGCTATATGCTAGCGAATGTAACAGAGTGAACATCATCTAAACATAATATTGAAAATGTACAGGGATATTTCCTTGCAAAACATTCATTCCATGGAAATATTAGTTGAAACTCTGTTATCGAGAAAGGCTATAGTTAGGTACGGGTCAGGTCACTGAAAAGGAATCTGAAACTCGGCAAATACAATCCGGAATTATGAGCCAGAGCACTTGAGAACGAAATGTCATTAATATTCTGTGAGTATTTTGTTACGGTTTTGAAATTACCGAGATAAAGGCTTGTGGGTCCCTTTAAACCAGCAAAATAAAACAGAAAAATGTCTATAAAGTTCAATTATATACCCAATAAACAAACAAGGTTACACTGAATGACATTACAGGTTCCTGATACAATACAATTGGGTCACATATCTAAAATATTAACTTATCAAAGTCTTGATATTCCCAGTAAAAACAGATGTACTGATTGAAGATTATGGACACCTGTCTTGAAAGGTCGATTTTTGGCAGACTGATGAGCGTAAATCCAAAATCCTCCACTCAGACATCTCAGCAAACATCCCTTATATATCTATTATACAGTTCTAGGGAATTCTAACAAAAAGCTATGGCACACCACCACCATCGAGAAATTACTGGAATCCAACGGTCTTCCACCAAAGACCGAAAGTAATGCAAACAAATGGAAGTAGCTCCTAAGATTACTCTAAACAAGTAAAATTATAAGTTCAAGATGCGAGTTCAAATCCAAAATCAACTTTTGTGACAAATAATAAACTAAAAGTTACTCATCATAACGATATCTTTAAATAAGCAATGTACTAGGTTGTTCCCTCCATATATATGCTGTATTGCATACCTCCTTACCTAGTCAATAGTTGAGAGTGAATATATATCTAGTAGGTAATGTTTTTATGTCATTACTATCACAATACGTTTGCTCTGAGAAATGTTAATCTTCAGAAATTCTTTCGTCATATCTACGTTCCTTCATTGTTTTGTTCATTCATTTGTTAATTCATTGGCTCATTCACTGATTGATTCACTAATTCTGGCTGAAATACAAAGTAACATCCTTGTAAAATCTAGAGTGGTCACTTTGCTTAATTGATCGTTTTAGATAAGTGCCACATCAAATAGCACTCTGAAGGACATTCAAAAGGATCTACACGTCTTTACGGGATATTAGGTTTCGGTGGCATCAAACATGATTATCAAATTGTAATACTGTTCGTTTCTAATATCGAATCTAGTATCTTTTTCTTAACATTCTGTTAGGTTGACTGCATACAATTAGCATTGTTGTACAATTACCACTTGGTTCATCATGAATAATTACAAAGTAACTACAATGATAGTACTGAGACGAGAGACAACACAAATACAATGGCAATACAGCATAAAAGCACACAATTATTATATTCACCTAGCCTGGTCGAGCAGTGATCAAGCTTGACAAAATTGAATGAGAATGGGAATCCTGGGTGAAATCGATCTTCATATAACAGTTACATTTATCAACAAACACATCACTCCCTCTAATTACACTGAACAGAAATAATGTAATACAATTTCAGAACTGTTGTATTATGAATTACATGCCACATAAAAGTTCGGTTGTTCAGAAAATTAAAAAAATTATTGTGACTGTAAGTCAGAATGTTTTCACGTAGTTTGTTTCAGCATTATCAATTACAAAGAAATAATTCCGATTGTTTTAATTTATTTAGGTTTATTGGTTAACAGTATTACTATTTTTTACTTTAGGGTGCCTAAACAAAATTATCTTGTGAGCGAAATGTGTTCCGTAGACGTCAAGGCTCGCAAGAAGAGCTTAAAAGTGATGGCTACACAATGTGCAAATATCAGAAAGATTTGAACGATATGTATTTTCTTGGTATATCATTGGAGTGAGTTCTATAAAACTCAGTTAGTTAAACCAGTTATGAATCTATTTCTAAATCTATTCCGGATGTATTTTTGTTACGGACATGCCCGAAATGTAAACTGGCGTCCAAAAGAAACGCCACCAAACAGTTTTCTTCACTAAAACACAAAAAAAGCAAATTATGGTAACAAGTAGTGTTGTATTGTAAAACACAATCAGTCAGCAACAGTTCTTGAAACTTTTCAGCGAGAAAAACGAAACATTTCGTGTTCTGAAGGCACATGGATGACACAGGGGTGCAGTGTCCAGTATTTGATCGCCAACGCTGATTCGTCTTTAAGGTCTCAAACTGTCCTGAACAACACAGATGATTCAGTATCGTGTGCGACCCCAAAGCACAGTGATGCAGGCTCTAACGCGGCATCGAACTGAGTATGTGAGCCTTCTGACGTCATCATTAGGGATTTGCGCCATTCCTCTTGCAGGGCAACTGCCAAAGCGTCCCTAGTCAACATTTCCGAATACGTTGCCCCAGTTAGTCCCAGAGGTGTTCGATTGGAGACAGATCGGGTGATCTCGATGGCCACTGTAGCAGGTTGACATTGTTAGTGTTGAGGAAGTCACTAGTGATCCGAGCTGTGTGAGGTGTGGCGTTGTCCTATTGAAACAGAGTCCTTGGGTGACGTTGCAGGAAAGGCTGCACCACAGGCAATCTCGTCAATGTAACGACGTGCGGTGAGATAACCGTTGATAATGACGAGATCTGTCTTCTGGTCCCCGCAAATTCCGCCCCAGACCATAACGGTTCCACCGCCGTAATGCTCCACTTCTTGCATGCAAGCAGGTGCCGTCCGTTCGCCGAAGAGATGTAACCTGCTCTCGTCACTGAAGAGCTCTCTTCGCCAGTTTCGCTGCTGCCACTGCATTTCGGTCCTGGCCCACATCTGGCACGTCTGTGTCGGAGCGTTAACGTCATGCCCTTGAAAGGTCGATAGGCACGAATACCATGCTGGCGGAGTCGTCTTGCTACGGTCTGTCTGCTGACTGCATGTCCAAGGCTATTGATGCTTGATGACGTCACAGTGAGGTAGCGGTTTCTCAGATGAAGCAGCCGTAAATATCGATCTTCCTGTGGAGTCGTGGCCTTGAGTCTGCCACTCCTGGGTCTGTCAGCAGTACTGCCTGTCTGTCTGTGACGTGTGACAAGTCTGGCGAAGGTGGACTTACAGCATCTCATGATCCTGCCCATGTGCTTCTGTGTTGCGCCCATCTGAAGCATACCAATTGCTCTTTCCCTCTGTTCTTTGGTCAATCGAGGCATGTTGGCTGCTTTCAATCGTGTCACATGATGAGAGAGAACACATCTAGTCAGGTTTTATACCCTCATGTCATACGGGTAACTTTGAGCACAATTTCCATTTTTTCTGTGCGAATTCATTTAACTCACCAATCATCAAAATCTCGTGCACTTGTTCACTGGGAATAGACAGCTTGTGTTCGAGGGATGTGTTTTCAGCCGTTTTTGAGCAGATTGGCAATTATTTTGACAATTTATGATAACTTTTATTTTGGTGGCGTTTCTTTTGGACGCTAGTTTGCAACCAGTTTACCAGCTGTGCAATAAACCATTTTATGTCTTTTAGGTACCCTGTTGAACCAGCATGAAGGTCTACTTTGCCGCAGTGTGTTCAGTGGTTGCTGTTGTTGCGGTTGCCATCGGTACATACGTACATGTAGCTTTCTCATTGATTTTGCAGGATAATATAGCCAGCTGTTTAACCCGATGAAAGTTATCATAACAGTTTGAAACAAACAACACGTATATTCCTTTCCTCTTGTTTTACAATTTAATACTTCCTGATGAAACAATAAACTGTTATGCCTGATGTGAATACACATGGTGTTTAAAGTATTTCCCATAAAATGCTTCAATTATATATGTTCATGTAACTCTCCAAATGTTTCAAAATATTGACTGGATATTGCCTCCTCTGAACTCAGTTTACTTGTGCATAGAAAATGGACCAAAGCATTATAAATGTTAGAACTCAAGACTCACTGATGTATCAAAAATCCCATCTAATCATCGTACTGCTTGGACTTTTGGGATACCCGTTTTCTCGATTGCTGATTTGTTCAGATTCCCATATTATCTTTCGGCTTTTGCACTTTTGTCCATTTTGCAAGGATTGATATGGGTTGTTGAACAAGACCATGAAGTTACAGAAGGCTGGTGCAAATAGTTCAGAGATGTCATTGTTTATTAGATATTAAAACTGGATATGCTTCTAAACACAAAGTCCATTGTATGCGATATTGTCTTTGTTCCAGCACATGTTAGAATGCATGGCAATAAGATATTTAAGCCTTATCCGGATTACAATATCCTGAAGTTGATTTACGAAAATGTTGACCAAGCCCTAAGCATTTTGAAACTGCTTTTTGGAATCTGTTTCACAAAGTTGAAGACAGTTGTGGGATGTTGGCACTACCTGCCGACATCTGTACAAGCTTGAAATCGTTCGTATTTAATCTTCACTTCCTGCATCCCTCAGATGTTTTATCTGTCTGTCGACTGTTCATCACATCTTTACAGCTTGCAGTGACGGTCGTTATGGACAGCACTGTCAGTTTGAGTGTGGTCACTGTAAAGGAAACCTGCCATGTAACAAGATCAGTGGAACATGTGATCAAGGATGTCAGCCAGGGTTTCAAGAAGCCTTTTGTAAAGGTGGGATACATTTGTGGTGGGAACGTCTTTTCCTGCTAGTTGATAAAAGTAGGCCTTGCCATTGTATCCTCAACGTAAGATAGTTAGTGTCAGTCCCCATGGTCCTCAGTATGGTGATCTACCTTCAGTTGTTGGCAATATGTAGCCTGTTTATATATTGTATTGTCTTCTATAGTTAAAAGTTTTTAGTTTTTCATACTTGTTTTATATCAATATATTTTATTCTCTTGTTATGTTATTGTCCTTCGTTGACAGGATTATATAATTTGACTTTATTTATTACGGCTATATTTCTTTTCACCTCCTCGTCACGATATGGCTGCAATATTGCCGATGTGACGTTAAATTTAACTCACTCACTCGGTAAGATAGTTAGTTGAAAATATGTCGCGTCTGCTCCGCAGCATGCGTTGATGGTATGTACGGGGTTGACTGCATGTGTAAAGACCCCCTAACCTGTGACGACGAGTCCAGTGGAGAATGTCCTGAAGGATGTCAGAGTAACTTCATGAAGCCCCAGTGTCCAGAGTGTCCAGCAGCACCAGGACGTTCAAACTGGGAACTACCAGTTACAGCAACACTCGGTGCCAATCTTGTATTTGCCCTCATCGCTCTGTTGACAGCCATCATTTATAACAGAAGGTAGGACTCTAATAATAATCACTGAAAAGATAAAATCGCACTAATTCATACTATTGGACAAAGGTAACTGTTTCGCTGATAATGAGTCTCAAACTGACGGGTTCTATTCAATGCTGTCTGATATGTTCAATGTTATTGTTTATGTGTTTAATTATATATGCAACATTAATGCCATCAAATATGTTTCAAATTCCACACATAACATTTGCCGTTCAGATTTGCATCATCAAATCGTGAAAGAGTATGCACATATGTACAGTATTATGAGAATGTGTCTCCTATGTGTATTGCACAGTTAGCAATAATTGCATTCATTAATTGAAACATAGTACAGAGTTTCTAGTCCTTCCCTAAATGTCGACATAATGATTGCAATTGTGTGCAAAATAAACAACAGGAGAATTGAGATTTCACAGTGATAAATCGCATTTCGGTGAAAACAATGGCGTATGTGTACTGCGAAACAGTAGCGCTAATTTAAGAGATTTTACAAATCAGTATTAGCGTGTTTTTTGGGCTTGTTTGTTTTTCTGTGTTGCTTTTGTTTAGCAATATTCTAGTTAGACAACGGCGGTATGTAAATAATCGGGTCTGAAGTAGACAATCCAATGACATCATGAGCATCGAGCTACGGCATAAGGGATGCGATGACATGTATCACCCAAGTCAGCGAGCTTGACCACCCGAGCCCGTTAGTTGGTATTATTTTCTAATATTCTATATTTCAGATTGAAGAAACAACTAACTGCTGTACAAAAGAAGCCTGAAAATGACTACGTGTCTTTAGATGAGATGATCAGGGATCCAGTTGTTGAAATCATATATGAAAACACTCGCAACATCGTCCTGTAGATCATTAGTGATCACGTTGGTCAAATGAGAAAAATTGTGACAAAACCATTTCCATAATCAGGGGAAAAAAATGTGCCAAAAGCTGGGTCCATTTGAAGATTCCGAATTTTTCAGGATCATCTGTTTCGGAATCACAATTAAATTGAGATCATAACAGGGTAAATCCAACGTTATATTCCACTGACTTATGTATATGATTGTATTTGCTGGTGCATTGTTTTATTTCATTCATTTAAGTATATGCATTAGCTAATGCAGCGTTTTATTTCACTCTGATATGTATATGTAGTCGCTTAATGTTAATGTTTATTTCACTCGTTTATGCATTCGCTCGTGCAATGTTTTATTCCACTCAATTATGTATATGTATTCGCTACTGCACAAGTGTCTTGTACAGTTTAGTTCCTGTACAAATCTTTGTTTCCTGAGTGAACCATACTACATCAAGAGTTATCTGCCCTGGTGTAGCAGATGGATTCCCTTGTTGGCATGGCACATGTGACAGCAGAAGAGAAAAGATAGCTGGATCTAGATGATTTTGAAAGAATGCAAAAAGTATACAGAACTTTGAAGAATATTCAGTCAGGAGTTTGGATGGAGCACAACACAGGGGTGGGGAGATGGGTGGGGCAGATGGGGTGGGTGGGGGGTGGGGTGGTGGTAGGCAAAGAGGTTCAGTGCTACGGATCGGCGGCGACTTGGTCAGATTGTGAAAAGCGTTGAGAATATCGGAAATGATTAATTGAGGAAGTCCTCAGGTATGTAATGAAACCCTTGGACAAAAATTACCAAGACTTAACTGGGTGAAAAAGCGCCGAATTCCCTCACCACTGATGAAAGATGCTTAAATGGACATACTTCAAACTGGGGTAAGGCTCACGAACATCAAAATCGGGAAAATGGTTTCTTTTCTTATGAAAGTTCGTCTGACCTACTTATTTCTTGGAAGTAGACAGTTCCGCAACAGTTTGAAATGGCGGACGAGCCAGTGTTTACATTTTGCGAAAGGTTGAAATTCGAAGTGACAGTGGAAAATACTTGACTGTCTGTCGAGTCTGAACCCTGCAGAATCGAAGAATAGATCCATTTCTGATCGACCTACTACCTGTAACTCATAAAAGACTGTTGATTTTTATGACCGGCGAGTGTGGATCATGATTTCAGGAACGTGCCTCCATCCCGGCTTTGTGTACATGCAACTAACTTGGTTCAATTTTGATATTTTGAACAATGCAACGGGACAAGATGGAGTATGAGTGGCATAAAATGTTGTGTTTCCTCTGACCGTTTTCTTGCGAATTTCGGAAACAAATATACCATTTATCAGGTAGGTAAATGTTTACGAGCGTTTTGCTGCACAAGTAGGGATAGATAGGGATGTATTTATATGTTACATATTGTTTGTTTATGTTTAGGGCTGTGTATTGTAATTGAGTTTGAATATTTTTTATAATAGAAGATAATAATTATGATAGTGAGGTTCCCTAATATTTGTGGAGGAGAAATCGTATAATTGTATTTTTCGAGTTTTTCGGTCAAACAGTACGGAACAGTTTGAGAGAGACTGGACAGAGAGCCCGGAGACCCGACGTCGGGACCGTGCTACGTCGTCACCATCGTGATCAGCGTCTCCGTTATCTAAAAATATCCACTTGATTGTATAGACATTTCCCTCTTCTAAACTGATGTACAAATTCACGAACTAAAGTCTGTTTGTGGACGAGTTATACATGTTTGAAAATACAACATATAGGCAACAGATTTCTGACATATGCGTTTCTTTTATGGGGACAGTATACTACGTACGGCTGCACCCTGTGTCCTGTGCAGACTTTGCGGATGTTAGATATGTATCTGAACTTCAACGCTTGGTTGGTCGGTGTGTTATTTAACGCTGCACTCAGCAATATTCCAGTCATATGGCGGTGGTCTTTAAATCTTCGAGTCTGGACCAAACTACCCAACCGATCAACCGCATGAGCATCGATCTGCGAAATTCGGATGCGATAAAGTCAACCGCGTCAGAAAGCCTGACCACCCGATATCTTTAGTCGCCTCATACGACTAGCATGGGTTGCTGAAGATCAATACTTACCCAGATCTTCACGGGTCACCTGGACTGTGAACCTGAACACTACAGGTTTAACATATACTAGGCACATAAAGAAACTGCATACAAAATATTAAAATCTAAATGTATCAAACCTGTGTAGACACATAAGGATTTAAACTCAGAGATTAGTGACATGTATCCATCATGCATGCACGTGCCACGTTCCGTGACGGCAGTGGGTTCGGCCTTGAGACGTTCAATACGTTGTTGCACATGCATTCCGGGAAAGAGAAACAGAGCAAATGAATGTCACACAATACTGTCACTTTGGAAAGCTCAACCCCTGCCCTTGCGATCGTTCAAAAAATTAAACGGCTATTGAACCGCATAGCATGCCAAGGCTCACGTCTGCACAACCACATGAGGCCATTGGGATGGTCCGTAGGGGAATGTATCAACGACAAGTGGCTGCACATTTCCACTGCCACCGGAACACCATTTCTGCACTGGTGAGACTCTACCAGAACACAAATGACGTCATCGATCGGCCACGTTCTGGACGTCCACGTGTAACAACGTCAAGACAGGATAGATGGATAAGGGTGACCAATCCTCGCCACAGGTTCCAGACTGCAGTAATGACTGCCCGAACCATCCCAGGACTTCGCCGTATCCACCCCAACACAGTTCGACAACGTTTACGTCATCACAGGATCAGACCACGACGTCCCGCCATACGGCCTATCCTGACACAACGTCATCGACAAGCTCGCCGAATGTGATGCCGAAATCATGTCCGCAGACCCTTGTTTTGGTGGAGAAATGTTGTTTTTACAGATGAGTCCAGGTTTAACTTTTCCCATAGTGATGGACGTCAACGTGCCTATAGACGCGTGGGAGAACGTTATGCACAGGCCTGTCTTGGAGAGGAATCGCTTTGGTGGTGGTTCCGTGGTGATTTTGGGTGGAATAACAGCACGCCAAAGAACTCCTTTGGTGATTGTTCAGGGCAACTTACCTGGTGTTGGCTACAGGGATCAGACTCTTCGACCTGTGGCAATTCCTTTTCTGCAACGTCATGGCCCTGGGTTAACATTCCAAGAGGACAATGTCCGCCCTCATACGGCAAGGGTTGATATGGATTTCTTGCAACACCACAATGTTGACTTACTGCCTTGGCCTGCAAATTCACCGGATCTCTCCCCGATAGAGCATTTTGGGACGAGATGGATCGACGTCTACGCCGTCTTCCTCATCCGCCAGCTAACGTCCTTGACCTTGCAACAGAACTTGAGAGAATCTGGCGTGACATCCCACAAGCCTTCATTGCACGTTTGATAGGCTCTATGCGTCGTCGATGCACTGCTGTTCTCAATGCCGATGGTAGACATACTCGTTTTTGATCTTGTGTCATGGTCGTTTGACCCCTGGACCGCTTGTGGACTCGTGACGTCATTGTGATTGACTTTTCAGTTGAAATTCTCCCGACTTGTTATGGTCTCATGATCCCTCCATTAACGTTTATATGTACCTTTGACATTGTTATCGTACTTATCAACTGTGATAATATTTTGACAATGCACAGTTTCTTTATGTGGCTGGTATAGTTATGAGTATGAGTCACACATGAACTCGGAACTAGGTGGTGATGGAAAAAAATTGAAAGAAAGGGTCTAGTTTGTAGAATTGATAATTCGTTGTCATGTTATTCTTATTACTGGAACAGTGATGTTTTCAGAATTTTCTATTTTACCCTGTAAGCCTGACAAACTGATCACTATGAATGTTCCTACAAAGTTACATGTGTGTCATCATGTTACACGTGTTGCGGGGGGAGCATATTATACTTGTTACGGACTGCTTAATATGAATTTAAATTAACAAACGAAGAATTATCGTGCGGAATTAATGTCACCATAAATGTGACGTTCATACCTAAGTGAAAGACAAACCGGAATAGAGGAGAGCAATTTTATAGCGTTGTTTCTACATTTGAGCATGAAATACGATCGTTTCATGAAATGATACAATATGATCTTTGATGGTGAAACTTTCAAGATTGCTTCTGCTGTGGTGTGGTGTGGTGTGGTGTGGTGTGGTGTGGTGTGGTGTGGTGTGGTGTGGTGTGGTGTGGTGTGGTGTGGTGTGGTGTGGTGTGGTGTGGTGTGGTGTGTGGCGTGGTGTGGGTGGCGTGGCGTGTGGCGTGGCGCGGCGTGGCGTTGTGTGATATGGCTGGCGTGGCGTGGTATGTGGCGTGGCGTGGTGTGGCGATGTGCTGTGTTGTGTCTTAAGGAGCTGATGAATGGGGTGGGGAGTACAAACAAGATATTAGTGTTTATGAACATATTTAAAATATATATTTTCCCTCGTCTGTATCTTGTGTTACTATGGAAACCCGAGTTCGACAGAGCACAGAACTGGACCGTAGTGTTGTGTTACACGTACCAAAGCATTTAGGAATTGTCATATGTACAGGAAGTGTATGACACCAGACCTGAGGCAAGTTAGATGACTCAATAACGCCTTCTTGCGTTTCATTAAATTCGCTTCCTGGTAGCCCAGACATGTATTGTATCCACAAAGGCAGCTGTGAAGTGGTGAAGTGTGAGGTGAGTAGTACACAGACATAGTTTTGCTTGAATCTGTAGAGTGTGTATGAGAAAAGAACGTCTCCTGATTGTGTATGTGTGTCGGCGGTCAGATCGTATATGTGAGTCTATCCAGCTATTGTCTTGTTACATACAAATTGCTTGATACTGAGCACACACGGTTACGTTACGTTATAAGGCAATATGTTAAGAAATGTTGGCATATTGGGATCAACAAATTACGAACAAGCTACATGATATTCAGTCGGCTGGTCTTTCCTTTGAAAGGGCGAAGATGCCCCTCTGTGTGTGTGCCTTGTCAATCCCAGTTTACCACTAAACACATACTTTTAGACTGTGTGGATACTGCATCTACATTAAAACAACTGTTTACACAAGTTTCTTGTCATGAGACTTTATCATTTCTAAAAGAAACAAGTGTTTATGAGTAGATACAGCTTGTAGCAACATTGTCTAGGTTTTGCTTTATCTTTGATATCTTTTCTTTTAAATTGTCTTTGAGATCATCCATTTCAGTGCTGAGGTATATGAGCACATGTTTGAATTCATTCATTCATTCATACACGCTGTTACCCGTGCATTCCAACATGGCTAATTATGAACAACACCAATCGCAGTCTATGTAAATACGTCCTTGAAATTATACGTTATGGTCTTTGATGTAATGGTGAAACTTTGATTGAAAATCTAATTTGCAAGCAAAGCGGTTTTGACTGCAAAGTATAATACATATTCAATAAACAAGCAAAAATTAAAAGTAGACACTATTAATGAAAGCAGGATAGATTCTAGATGTTCCGCAGGGGTGCAAATCTCACTGCATGTCCCTTTGTAGTATTAATGGAGTATTTGTTTCTATCAAAATTTGATGTTTTAAGAGACTATTTGTTAGTCTACCCTTCAGCTGTTGCAATCCCTACCTCTTGCACCACCACCCAACTCTGCCCTACGCCATTTGCTAGCAACTATGTGGTATCCGAGTAAACAGGATCTAAATATAACCTTGAAAATGTAATTTTGACTTAACAAGCACTGGAATATTACCTTACAAATTTGAAACGGGAATGTCATTCAGTTACACACTGTCACCGAGAAAGGATATACATTGCTACAGGTCAATTCACTGAAACTGAAACTGCTATTTGAAAAGAGCCCTATGCGCTTGCACCATTCTTTTGAAATAGAAATAAAATCCGTAATTATGAACCAGTGCACTTGGGGACGAAAATAATTAATATCCTGTTACCTGTTTTATGAAAACGTTTATACACAAACACTACAATAGCACTATATAGACTGACGTTTAACGCGATTTCCTTTATTGCAATATTTATTGGCACGAAATGTTTTAATAGACATACTGCTTTTAAAGAAGTTTGCCGCATTATACCTAACAGTTGAGGAGGCATATCGCCTTTGACTACATATGGCAAAATACCTATTTCGATCAGAAGGGATTAGGATTATCTACGAATCTCAAGTTGGTTGTAGGAACAATTATACTCTGAAAAAGAGAACGAAGTACCGCACTAGTGGAAGAATTGGAAATATCTGACAGGGTTTCAAACAAAATAAATACCAAATATAAACTTGTCATGTCTGCATACTTTGGGACGTGATATGTGTAGGTAAAATAAAGTACGGCAAAACAACAACGAAATGGAAGAACACAAAGCTCAACCTCGTGGTACAAACTCAAAATGTTCAGACATTTTGTTTTTGTTATCTGTTCGGGGTCTGGTTGCAAATGAAAATTACGTTGTTCAAATGTTTTTTGAAAGGAGTTTGATTTAGAAGTCAAATAGTCCAAATACAATCTTTCTAAGAAATACGGGTTGTTAAAACACATTCGTAAAGTGTTGTAATGCCACGAACTGATGACATTTGAACGTGCTTTGTCATTACATGGACACCCAGATTCTGGACCACATTCTAGATTACAGGGTTTGTGTATGCATCTCACAAGCATAAATTGGCACAGTTCCCATTAGTGAAAGAAGGTGAAGTCATTCAGAATGTGTACACATATGTTCTTTTGTCAGAGTATAACATGGGTTACGCCCAGTTCTGCTGATATGGCTACGAGGAAAAAACTGGATGTATTGGAGTTCTATGCTTCCCAGGAAAATTGCAGTCACTGCATCTTTCAAAACTGCCACTTGCCAACAACTTAAATAGACCAGTTGTGTGCATGCGTGTTTTCAGGGGAAGGGAGAACGGGTGGGCGTTGTTTGCAAGCGCCTGGACGGAACAGCGATAGCCACATACAATAGGAAGCTGTTGATTTAAATCACACTGAGTTTACAATTTCGTGATGCACACAGGATGCTGACAAGGTTCTAGTCAAGATGCACATCCGTGATTGCATTTAGCGCAGTTGAAAACAACATCACTATCGCGATGGACAATCGGGAAGAACAGTACGCTTCAAATCTCAGTCTGGGCTCCGTCCCACGAAGCAGTCCGATATTTTAATCGCTGAAAACACGGGATCGAGCCCACCCGTGACCGGGTGTAAAAACCTTGAAGTCAACTTTATGTGCAGACTCTTTCAGTGCACTTAAAACAACCTACGAATCCGTTGTTATATGAGCAGATGGTGGCCACATGAATACGTGCAAACACCTAGTTGCGGGTAGAGCAACGTGGAATGAACTTGGACAAAGTACTGAGGCTAAGTGTCCTAGTCCACCGAGCTGTGAATAGGTACCTCGTAAGGATGAGAAAACCGCAATAACTCGGTGTGCCTAGAGGCTCCAAGCGTTGTATACTCCCCGGGGAGTTGCGATTGATAATACGATGTGTCGTTGAGATTGACATCCAATAACCTAGGGGAGAAATGTCAGCTCCTTGAACATGTACTAGATACATGGATATGTGCGCTATATAAATATCCCATAATAATTATAATAATAATAGGGTCCATGCAGGCAGCAAAAGTACTGCAAGACCCCATTGTCCAAAGCGTGTTGATCGTCCTGCAGGTGCTGGTGTTCTCCACCCCCTTTTTTCTTTATGTTTAATGCACGTGTAAGTGGTGTCATTTCAAAGTTACATTCTAGTTTTAGTCAAATATGTCAGTCACCTCCTCACGCTGGTAATGTGAATTCACAGCATCGGACTCCCCATTTGTCAAGGGGTACATGCGTCAATTCCTGCAGAATTAGAACAACAGGATAATAATCGTATGGCTAATGTCGGCACAGATGTTCTGTCAGGACACCCCTGCGTCGTGCATGTCATTAACTTGTCATCGTGTGTTTCGGAAACTGCACCTCTTGCCTTGTCAAGAAACGTCAATTTTAGGTTCTGTCGCCTTTAAATCAGTTCAGAAAGAAATGCAATGCATATTTTTGTGGTGGTGGTGTGTGGTCCTGTGTATAGACTTCATGTCAAATATCAGCTGATATGGGTGTCCTTGCTTGGCAGTTAACTCCAACAACGAAGCACATGTGATACATGTGGTCTCACCTTAGACAGACCACTTCTAGCGCCTCATAGTCAAGGAGCTTATGGGATTCCGTGAAAGTTTTTTGATGGAAGCAAATCATATATTCTGTTGTGTTTATATGTTAAAGGAGTTTAAAAAAATGTTTGGATCCAATCCAATGCGAAAGCTATATTTAGCTCAAAATCCAAGAAGGCTGCCAAAATTTAACCAGGAACTGAAAAAGTTGCAAAACCCCGGAACAGAACAATGGTTTTTACCATCAAATACCATGCATATTTGGTTAAGGAATATATTTCTCGGAGCACCTTTAGAATACAGCACCACAACTTCTCGTGAGGACGATCTCTGCCGTATGTCTCGTGTCATTAAGACAAGCAACCAGTTTGTGAGAACCTGTCGGATGCGAACCCGCAACCTTCGAATTGTTAGCTCGACAGCTAACCGACTGAGCTACGTCCATACTGTTGTACAATGTGCAAATTTATCGAGTCATTACTCTGACGTCACGAAAATGAACGGAAAGAGTCGAATAGGTAAACGGACAATTACGAATGCTACGGGTAGACTTGGTGTCTCGTGATTTTATTCTACGGACAATTGCCGAATGGATCCGATGCCATTTGGCACACTCGTCAAATTCCGTAATCTACAAATTAACGTGTGGCGTGGAATGAGCCGGTATGCCTCAAACTGAAAAGGGTTGTTGACGTGAGGCGTCAGACGTAGATTTCACGGTGCATGCATGAATGACGCGCTTTTATATAAATCGGTGATTTTGTGACAGAAAAGTGATGTAGGGAACACTGTAAGGATAATGTGGATCGCACTAAGGAACGAGGGAGACATGAGCATGTGTAGTGACGGCACGAGGGTGAGTTAGCCTTCGAATCATTACTTTACAAAATTTATGTTGCGTGTGAAAGAGGCTTGAGTGCAAATTCCAGGCCAATTTCCATTAGCCCAAAATTCCTACATTAACCCATTTCTTAATGTACTTTCGACGTTTTTAGTTTCCGGTTTTTGTGTGAAAAAAAAGTATTAAAATGCAAAAACGAAAAACAACAAATGGTACTCACGTATTACACTGGACATGCACCTACTATATTGGATTCGGTCCCTAACCCTAACCCCTAAACCCTCAGCCATAACCCTAACCCTAACCCCTTGAAATAATCCTAATAAATAGAATGCATTGACCGAACCACCGGACATGTACCTACTATATTGCATTAGGTCCCCAACCCCAACCCTAAACCCTAAGCCCTAACCCTAAGCCCTAAGCCTAGCCCTAGCCCTAGCCCTAGCCCTAGCCCTAATCCCGTGAATTAATCCTAATAAATAGAATGCATTGGCCGAACCGGCACAAACACGACTGACGTGTCTAGTGTAATGCATTATTACCGCTTCGAAAAATAAGATACTAATAGAAGACGTTTCTATGTAATGGTGCAAATTACTGAATGACAAAAAATATATATGTAAATTAAAAAAATTACAAAATACAAAATACACAAAACATAACACCTCAGCAGCCCGTAATACAAATAAA